TTCCAAGTAGCTGGGACTATAGGCGCCCACCACAACGCATGGCTATTTTTAGAGACTGTGTCTCTCTCTGGTTCAGGCTGGTCTCAAACCTGTGAGCGCAGGCAATCCACCTGCTTCGGCCTCCCAAGTGCTGGGATTACAGGTGTGAGCCACCTCGCCCAGCCAGGATGTAGCTAATCTTAATATTGTGAGCACATGAAAAATATAATGGCTCGTATTTCATCCCACTTCCTTTGTGATAACTGTTTTAAGTCCCTGCCAAATAAAGAGGCCTGGGCCTGTGGCAGACAGTGTGTATGAAGATAATTACTTGTGCTTCTCACGCAGGCAGACTCAGAAAATAAAGAGGAAGTTAGTCCTCTGGGCTCAAAGGCTCCCATCTGGATTCCTGATACCAGGGCCACAATGTGTATGATCTGCACAAGTGAATTTACCCTGACCTGGAGACGACACCACTGCCGAGCCTGCGGAAAGGTTGGCTGGGAGAACACCCATCTCCATTGTGATTGTCCCCTCTTGAACCACTGTACTTCAAAACAACAAAAGAATGGTGGTGGAAAACATGGATGGTGGTTTTCTCTAAATATTTAGGAGCGGAGGGAACTTTGTCAGGAAACTTCCCCCCTCCTATCCCAAAGTTACCTTAGAACAGCGATTCTCAGCCTGTGGGTCGCGACCGCTTTGTAACAATGAAAATACATCGTGGCATCAGGAAGATTGAGAACCACTGCTTTTTAGAATGTCAGTAATAGATAACTTGCATTCAAAAACAAAAACTGACAAATCCACAATTAAATAGACCCTCACATTTACAGCTAATTGGGACCTTTCAGTGTTGAAGTTATCCCTGGTTATATTTCTAAGCCTTCAAGACATACTAGTAGAGTGAGCGTAGTCACAGTGACATCAGAGAGTTCCTATTCCTGTGAAGATCAAGGAAGTGCTGTCCAGAGGGATTTGGTACAGAGCTGGACACTGGGTAGAGAAGTGGTTGCTGCTACAGCAATGATAATGATTATAATGACCATGGTGATGGTGATCAGAACATGGCTAACAGCTTATTGTGCGCCAGGCACTGTCCTAAGCATTTTGGACATATCAACTCCATTATTATTTTATCTAGTAAGTGCTCAGTAATAATCCGTGGCCTCTTCATCTTTGAAATGTGGTATACTGTGTGTTAGATCATTACATGCCTGGACTCCATTGAGTTACCACCAAGATTTAAGTGAGATGGAGTGACTCTGAACCTGTTTGAAAAGTGGACAGTATTATATAGCATACTTTATGGTTTGGAAACAAAAGTGTTTCTAATAAAATAACCCCAATATGTTTTATCAGATTGTATGCCAAGCTTGTTCATCAAATAAGTATGGCTTAGATTACCTGAAAAATCAACCAGCAAGAGTATGTGAACATTGTTTTGAAGAACTGCAGAAATTAGGTAATTATGTAATAAGTAAAGATTTAACCAGAAATTCCTTTATTCTCCAGGTGCTTTTAAATGACCTTCCAAAAGAATGATTTTCAGTACCTTAGCAACAACTGTGATTGTTTATGCTTTATCTAAAAAACTTGCACTGAGCTTTCTTAACTCCCATTTTGTGGTAGTTCAAGCAAAGTTGGACTAGAACTTGTTTTTAATCTGCCAAAAAGGTTTTGCTAAGAAAACTAATTGTAGGAATGTAATTACAGGGTAAAATGTTTAACACAGTTAATAGGGAAGTTTAACTTTCGAGTAATTTTGAAGTTTCTGGTTTTGTACCAACAATATGCTTATTGCAAATCTTTTGTATCTATCTGTAGAGTAATTCTCTATGGAAATATATTTAGTGGCACCTTGTTATGTTAATTCGAGTCACTTGAACTCATTTAGTGATTTTTTTGTGTTTTTGTTTTTTTGGGGGTGGGGGCTTGTTTTGAGTCAGAGTTTCACTTTGTCAGTGCTGTGGCATTTTAGCTCTTGCCTTAGCCGCCCAAGTAGCTGGGACTACTGGCAGCTGCCTCAAAGCCCGGCTGTTTTTAGAGACAGGGTCTCACTCTTACTCAGGCTGATCTTGAACTCTTAATGTCAGGCAATCCACCCACCTTGGTTTCCAAGAGTGCTCAGATTACAGATGTGAGCCACCATGCCCAACCCTTTTAATGAGATTTTATTGTATGTCTGTTTGGGCAGCTTTTTTTTTTTTTTTTAATTGGAGACTCACTGAGCTACGGGCACTGAGCCCGGCTATTTTGTTGTTGTTGTTGCAGTTGTCATTGTTGTTTAGCAGGCCCAGGCTGGGTTCAAACCTGCCTGCCTGGGTGTAGGTGGCCGGTGCCCTAACCACTGAGCTGCAGGCGCTGAGTCTGAATGTGCAGCTTTTTGACCAAATACAAAACAATCCTTCACATCTGCCTACCCATTGTGTGCAAGTATCCTACAGTTAAAAATGAATGTACCTCACTTCTATATATTAGGAAGGGATTTTTGGTTAACTTCCTGAAACCTACAGTCTAAATTATCAAAAATTTGTCCTTCATTGCCAAGAAAGACAGCTTTTCATTAGCAAAGAGGAATATCTGAGCGAATAAAACTAAATGACACACTATTTCGGAATTCATATCTACGTGTATTTATAGATTAATGGTTTATTATTGTTTGCATACGTTTTCCAAGATGTCCCATCCGTCTATTCCTTTATGTTCCTTCCTTTGTTCCTGGGTACACCCTACACACATACAAGCTGTAAACATTCAAAATTTATCTTTGAATCCTCCTCCCTCATCACCTACAGCCATTTGGTTAGTAAATCTTTTCCATCTCAGCCCTAATAAGGCCTTTGTCCTGACTATTAATAATTTCCTAACAGGCTTTCCTACTTATAAATCCCTCCTCCTGACGACTGATGGGTTTATATTTCTATATTTAATCTGTTACGTCTCTCTCCAGGCTAAAAAGCATGAACAACAGACCAAGTTCCTTAGAACCAGTCTCATTTTTTCCAGCCTCGTTATTCTCCAAATGGATGATCTAATTTCATATCTCCCGGCCTTTGCTCATGTCAACCTCTTTGTGTATACGGTTTTTCCTCCTCTTTTTATTAACCTGGAAAATTCTTACTTCGGCCTTAGTGATCAACTTAAACATCTTACTCTTTCCCCCACTTTCCCCGAAACCTCTGCAGTTACAATTAATTGCTTCCTTATCTGTGACCTTTAGCCCCTTTTCTAGCATTCTGTTCATTATAACATTGTGATTATTAGCTAGACACTGAACAATACTAGGATTTGTTGGGGTTTTTTTTAAGTCAGTAGGGAAGGTTTGGTTTTTTTTTTCCATTTATTTTTTAAAACTTAAAAGCAGTAGTATTATATTCACACGTTTCAGAATTCTAAAGGCACCAGGAGCAATCCTTTCACATAGTTTAAGGTTCCAAAAGTATAAAATCATTTTTAAAACAGGGGAAAACCTTCCTTCTACTCATCTCTCAGCCAGCCATCTTCATTTCCTGGGAGCCATCAGTGCCATCAGTTTCTTGATGTGTTTCCATGAATATTTTGTGCAACAGCATTTGTTGATTTGAATTAAATTGAATTGCAGTGCTGACCATTGGCTACATAAGTGCTGATTTGTTATCCTGACTTGTTATCCTACCTGATTTGTTTCAGATCACCAGCACTCCCCTAAGATTGGATCTCCTGGGAATCACAAATCTCCTTCAAGTGCCTTGTCTTCAGTCTTACATAGTATTCCATCCGGGAGGAAACAGAAAAAAATCCCAGCTGCTCTCAAAGAAGTAAGTAACTTGCAATGTGGTGGAAGCTGAATTATTCATATGCATAGAATACTCTGTTTTCCTTTCACGGAGGAAGATAGCATTCCCGATGCTGATAAGTCATGAATTTTAATACTGATGATGGATGTGGATGTTGCCTCACAGTCTTGCTTAGTCTCCCTTCTGACCTGAGCCATTTAGAAAATGGCTATTGAAAGGTTTAGCAAAGATGTAATGGCAGTGATAGAAAGTAAGAATAAGTTGGACACACATGAGTTTTTAAAATTACCTTGAGGCGGGCTTGGCGCCTGTGGCTCAAGCGGCTAGGGCGCCAGCCACATACACCTAGGATGGCGGATTTGAATCCAGCCCAGCCCGCCAAACAACAATGACAGCTGCAACCAAAAAATAGCCAGGCGTTGATGGCGGGTGTCTGTGGTCCCAGCTACTTGGGAGGCTGAGGCAGGAGACTCGCTTGAGCCCAGGAGTTGGAGGTTGCTATGAGCTGTGATGCCATGGCACTCTACCCAGGGGGACAGCTTGAGACTCTGTCTCAAAAATAAAATAAAATAAAATTACCCTGAGGCCCCTTACCAGAGGGAAGAAGCCCATAGAACCTTGTGGGCACTCTGTTAGGCATTGGTTAGTTGGGTAGAGGTGGTATCATTGATAGTAGGTTGTCTTTCCTTTAAACTTAAAAGAAAATTTTGAACAGTTGTAATAGCTTGCATGTTTAGACCTGTTAATGGCATAATTCAGAGTCATTATTGATACCCTATTGCAGTACCTCAGTTTTTTTTTTTCCCCTTGAGATTCAGGGTATCACTGTCACACTGGGTTGAGTACCATGGCATCATAGCTCACAGCAACCTCAAACTCTTGGGCTGAAACAATCCTCTTGTCTCAGCCTCCCAAGTAGCTGGGACTACAGATGTCCTGCAACTCTTGGCAATTTTTTCTATTTTTAGTAGAGATGGGGTCTTGCTCTTGGTCAGGCTGATCTTGAACTCCTGAGCTCAGGCATTCCACCTGCCTTAGCCTCTTAGAATACTAGGATTATAGGCACAAGCCACCATGCCCTGTCCCACCTGTGCTAGTTTTATGGCCAGCAGAGTAGGGTTTTAGGGTTTTTAATTGCTTGGTTACTATGGAGATGTTCTATCAGGGAAGCAAAACAACTCTAAAATGTTGACCTTATGGCTCAGCGCCTATAGCACAGAGGTTATGGCACCAGCCACATACACCTAAACTGGCGGGTTTAAACCTGGCCAGGGCCAGCTAAACAATGACAACTTCAACAAAAAATAGCTGGGCATTGTGTCAGGTTCTTGTAGTCCCAGCTACTGGGAGGATGAGGCAAGAGAATTGCTTAAGCCTAGGAGTTTGAGGTTGCTGTGAGCTGTGACTCCACGGCTCTCTACTGAGAGCAACATAGTGAGACTCTGTCCCAAAAAAATAAGATAAAATAAAAATTTGACCTCTCATATTCCCAGTTAAAATAGTATGGAGTAATTTAAAGCCAATCTCATGAAATAATAAGAATAGTGCTTAAAGTTCTAATTGAGGAGTTTTTTTTTTTTTTAAGGACAGTCTCACTTTGTTGCCCTCAGTAGAGTGCTATGGCGTCACAGCTATAGCAACCTCAAGCTCTTGGGCTTAGGCGATTCTCTTGCCTCAGCCTCCCGAGTAGCTGGAACTATAGGTACCTGCCACAAAGCCCAGCTATTTTTTGTTGCAGTTTGGCTAGGGCTGATTCGAACCCACCACCCTTGGTATATGGGGCCAGCACCCTACTCATTGAGCCACAGGCACCACCCCCTAATTGATGAGTTTTATGAGACTGTTGAGCCAATTTAGCAAGTACCTCTGAACTATTTCTTCCATCCCTCAATTCTTGAATCTAAGTCTGCATTCATACTTTTTTTTTTTTTTTGGAGACAGTCTCACTAGGTAGCCCTCAGTAGAGTGCCATGGCATCACAGCTCACAGCAATCTTAAACTCTAGGGTTTAAGTGATTCTCTTGCCTCAACCTCCCAAGTAGCTGGGACTACAGGCGCCTGCCACAACACCCAGCTGTTCTTTGATTGGAGTTGTCAGTGTTGTTTAGCAGGCCTGGGCTGGGCTCGAACCCACCAGCCTTGGTGTATGTAGCTGGCGCCCTCCTCACTGAGCCACAGGTGCTGAGCCCTGCATTCATACTTTTGAGGTTTTGGGGGGGTTTTTTTGCAGTTTTTGGCCGGGGCTGGGTTTTGAATCTGCCACCTCCAGCATATGGGACCAGTGCCCTACTCCTTTGAGCCACAGGCGCTGCCCACTTTTGAGGTTCTTAATCAAGTGAAATGGTTCTTAGTTCTGTGGAATTGTTCTTCTCTCTACCCTGATATCACAGTTTCTAAATCTAACTCTGACCATGTGCTCCCCTCTTCAGTCTAACCACACAACATTAGTTACAGCTTTCGTAGTCTAGACTAGATTCAGTCTAACTCTAGGCTTGTTTCATCCATCTTTCTACTCAGCCACACAAACCGGCCTTCCAGTATCTAATGCATCACTTGAAAACTTATTAGAAGTTCTTGTGCCTCACCGTGATCTACAGAATTAGAAATTCTAACAGGCACTCCTGGTGATTCCAATAATACGCTAAAGTTTGAGAACTACTTTACTTCTTTACAGTTAGACTGGAGAAATTTATATATCTAGTTAGGAGCTATAAAGCCAAAGTATAGTATTCTCCTTGAGAAAATGGGTCTCTTGGTGTTTTTTTTCGTCCCACCCTCCTTTTGGTGTTTAATCATTACAGTTCAGCGGTGTTTAATGTACTCACAATGTTATGCAACCACCATGTCTTTCTAGTGTTAAAAGTTTTTCATCATCCCATAAAAACACCCTGTTTGTGCCCATTAAGTAATCTGTCCCCTTTGTCCCCTTCCTTCACTCCCTGGTAACTTCTGATCTGCTTTCTGTCCCTCTGGAGTTGCCAATTCTGGATACATCATATAAAAGGAATCACATAACATGTGACCTTTGTGTCTAAATTCTTTCACTTAGCACAGTGTTTTTCAGGGTTTAGCAAAATCATGGCATGTATCAGGACTTTATTTCTTTTTGTGTCTGAATTATATTACACTGTATGTGTCTATCAGTTTATCCATTCATCTCTTGGTGGACACTGGGTTGTTTCCACCTTTGGCTGCTATGAATGCCGCTGCTAAAAATACGTGCAAATTTCTGTGTTGACATAAAGTTTTCATTTATCTTGGGCATATACTTTAGGAATAGAACTGCTTGATCATATGGCAAGTCTATGTTTTACTTTTTGAGGAGCTAGGAAGTTGTGTTCTTATTCTAGTAATGTTCAAAACATTTATAGAAACTCCTCTTTTTAGAATTACATTCAGAGCCTCAGTATTCTTAGTAATGGCGGACTTGTCTTCTTGAGTTGGATTTGATTTGGTTTCTGTAAGTGATTAAGTTAGTTAACACCAGTTTTATTTCAAAAGAGATAATAGAGGCTGTTTGGCAGTATGATTGATCTTCATGAGTGGCTAATTAATTCTAAAATATTCTAAAGGAGGAATGTAATATATTTTGAGCAATGTTAACATATTAAGTACATGGTAGTATCCCAGTATAACTACCTTTTAAGCAAAATCTTATTTGAGTGTTACCATTCTATTTGTTTTTTAAAAAACTACTTGGTAGTCTGTTATAAGGATGTATTACTTTATACATATCTTTTTAACAGATAGTTTAAATTTCATGTTAGATCTTAAATTTCCCATTGAACTATATAATCTTTTTCATGAAATTAATAAGAACTAATACAATTCATCAATTATTACATGATTAAAGGTATATTTCTAAAATTCACAGAGCCCACTGCATTAGTTTTCATTGCTGCATAGCAAATTACCACATATTTAGTGGCTTAAAACAACATACAGTTATCATCTGAGTAGTCCAGGCCTGGCCCAGCTGGGAGCACCGCAGGACAATTATGAAGGGTTTGGCCAATACAGAGTTCTCTCATGGAAACTTAACTGTGGGGAAGGGTCTGCTTCCAAGCTCATTCAGGTTGTTGACAGAATTCATTTCCTTGCATTTGCTAGAGCAAGGGCTTTGGCTCTTTACTGGCTTTTGGCTAACGGTCATCCTCAACTTCTTGCTATATGGGCCTCCCAACATGTCACATGCTTACTTCTTCAAAGCCAGCATGGGAAAAGTCTCTCGATGCCAGTCTGCTAGCAAGATGGAGGCTTATACATATACCATAATCATGAGAGTGACATTCTCATAGTCAGAAGCAACTCACAGATCCTATCCATACTCAAGGGAAGAAAACTGTGCCACACTGTGACTCTGTAAGGCAAAGACCATGGGAGGTCACTTTAAGACTATGCCTGCCACAGCACTAACAAGGCAAGTCCTAAACTGGGATTTTTTTCTTTTTTTTTTTTTAATGTCTCTACTGTTCCAATATTTAAAACAACAAAAACAAAAAGCCATGAATTCCTTTTTTTTTTTTTCTGAGACAATGGTCATTCTCTTTGACCCAGGCTGGGGTGCAGTAGTATAATCATAACTCACTGCAGCTCAAACTCACAGGCTCAAGCATTCCTCCTGCCTCAGCTTCCCAAGTAGCTGGGACTACAGGCACTGGCCAGCATGCTAGGCCAATTTTTTTTTTTATAGAAATGGGCCCTTGCTATGTTGGTCAGGCTGGTTTGGAACTCCTGAATTCAAGCAATCCTCCCAGAGTGCTAGGATTACAGGTAGCATCCAACGATAGAATTTTCTATTTACTATTCTGTTAGTTTTTAGAAGTCCAAACAAATTATTTCAGGAATAGAATTAAAGGTTTAAATAACATTCCACAAAACATGAAGAGCAATTAACAACTTATACAGTCCCTAAATTACAGCTTTAGAAGTGACTTAGGCTTTTGAGATTAATTTTCATCTCTTGCCAACCCAGAAAACATAGATGAATTCATACACAAACACACGCAGGCACAATTACACAAGCTACAATTCTAGGACCGCCTCTAAAAGGGTGTGTTTTTTTAATGCTCACATTAATAACAGTATTTAGCTTATAAGGTACCAGACTTTTTGTTTGTTTCTTGAGACTGAGTTTCACTTTCTTGCCCCCAGTAGAGTGCCATGACATCACAGCAACCTCAAACTCTTGGACTCAAGTGATTCTCTTGCCTCAGCCTCCCAAGTAGCTGGGACTACAGGTGCTTGTCACAACGCCCAGTGATTTTCTTTCTTTCTTTTTTTTTTTTTTTTTTTTAGAGACAGGGTGTTGCTCTTGCTCTGGCTGGTCTCAAACTCATGAGCTCAAGTGATCCACCCACCTTGGCCTCCCAGAGTGCTGGAATTACAGGCATGAGCCACTATGCCTGGCCTACAGTAGCAGACTTTAAAAATACAGATTTCGGGTGGTGCCTGTGGCTCAGTGGGTAGGGCACTGGCCCCATATATCGAGGGTGGCAGGTTCAAACCCGGCCCTGGCCAAACTGCAACAACAAAAAAATAGCCAAGCCTTGTGGGCAATAGCTTGAGACTCTATATCAAAAAAAAAATAAAAATAAAATTATTTAAAAAGTGCTGGCCCCATATACCAAAGGTGGCGGGTTCAAACCCAGCCCTGGCCCCTGCCATGGCCAAACTGCAACCAAAAAATAGCTGTACATTGTGGCGGGCGCCTATAGTCAGCTACTCGGGAGGCTGAGGCAAGAGAAGCACCTAAACGCAGGAGTTGGAAGTTGCTGTGAGCTATGTGATGCCATGGCACCCTACCAAGGGTGATAGAGTGTGACTCTGTCTCTACAAAATAATAATAATAATAATAAATATATATATATAGATTTGATTCTGAAACATTCTGTTGTTACAGTTATTATTTTCAGTGCCTAATGATTATAAGCAATTTTGTGGTTATTGTAATTTGTCTGAAAAACATTAAACTTTGTATGGTGCTTTCTTATTTAGGTGTCAGCAAACACAGAAGATTCTTCAATGAGTGGCTACTTGTACAGATCAAAGGGCAATAAAAAGCCTTGGAAGCACTTATGGTTTGTCATCAAAAATAAAGTCCTATATACATACGCTGCAAGTGAGGTAAGATCCGAAATCTTAAGATGAGCAATTTTGGAGTCTTATTTGATAATGCCAACTAAAATAATTACAATATTATAAAATCCATTTGTTTTGTGTGGGATTTTTTTGTTTTGCTTTGGAGTGGGAGGTATTGCTGTTATTTTTGACATGAACTGTGTTCTTGCTTTGTACCTGGAGAGCTCTTACTCAAACGTATCAGGTATTCTTCCATATTATTAAAATGCAAGGATTTTCTTGGTATCGCGGGACTACTGACTACGGCACTAAAGGCAAAGCTTCTTTTCCTTCCCGCCATGCTCTCTTGAGAGAGCCCCTCCTTTGCTATCTTTCCCAGACTGTATTGATCAGTATCAACATAGATAAGATAGGCTTGGGGTTATTGAAGGAGAGGTAGCTGGAGGTTTTAACAAAATTATAAAAGGAAAAAAGGATGCGCTTTCAGGGGGTGGGGGGTTATAAACAATTTCTAGCTTTTTACTATTTCTGTCTTTTTCTCTTATCTGATCACTCTATGTTCCAACATCCTATGAAACCATTGCCCTAGGGTATAGGCCCGATCTTAGTGGGATCTGGGTAAATCACTTAGCTTTCTGAGCTGTTTTCTGCATCCATAAAACGAAAATCATGTAATCCCCTACCTTTGGTTGTCCCGAATAATAATGTGAAATTCAGTGGATGTGAACATGCCGAAAACTGGTACCAGGTAAGTGGGGAGGTGTGGCTCAATAAATATTATTGAATAAGTGGAAACTGAAAAAGCTGCTAGAAATATCATTGCTTGATATGTGTGTAAATGAAATTATCAAATAAATTAGAGGTAGTATAGATCAAGAGTTCTTAAATCTGAATTCTGTCTCAATCTAAAACCAATCTCCATTTGTATATTTTTAAATTAGGACGTGGCAGCCTTGGAGAGTCAACCTTTACTAGGATTTACTGTTACCCAAGTCAGAGATGAGAACTCAGAGTCTAAAGTATTTCAGTTACTGCACAAAAACATGTTATTTTATGTATTCAAAGCAGATGATGCTCACTCAGCTCAGAAGTAAGTAATTTAGCCATATTTTTCTTTCACTTATGAGATTTCAAGTTGTTATTTTAAAGGATTGACTTAAAATGACCTACAGTGAGGCTTGAGGACAATCCAGAATTTAAATCAGAGATAGAAAGACGTTTCGCATTATTTAGATGCCTTAGAATTTTTTAAAAGACAAGGCAAGAGTATGTGAAATATTTTCAGGAGGCAGAGAGGAGAAGAAAAATAGGTAGTTGTCTGCACATGACTTCGGGGAGAGCAGCGTGATCCTGCCCTGCTGAAAGGAAGGGAAGCCGAGGCATTTGACCTCTCCTTCAGTGAGGGTATGAATCTTCCCTTGAAACATTCCAGGACTTTGGCAAGCCAGTGATTGGACTGTGCCATGGAACAGCAGGAGTTTAAACAGCTGCTTGCTAACTTACTTCTCTGAAAAAGGTCAAACACATTAAGAGGCTCTCATGCTGTTCCCAGGGGCTAAATACAAAGAAATAGATATGATGAGGTGGTACAGGCTGAAACTGTCTCTTCAAAATTCCAACAAGAACCTTTATATAGATGTTAGGAGTTTGGTTAACATAGATGCATATCTCTGAACGCCAGGGCCCTTCTGAACAAAATAGTTCAGTTCACGTCTCTTTGATTTGTTTTTTTACTTTAGCCTCACAAAATGTACAGTTTTTTCTTAAGTAAACGGTGTTCATCTTTCCTCAGTGGGCTTAAAAAGTGCATGAAAATTTAAAAAAAAAAAAGTGCTTTGAGTAAGCAAGATTTGTTGTTTCTTAAGGCATTTAGAATTGACCTACCTTATCAGAATTGTATGGGTTCCTAAATACCAAGCAGGTACAATGTCATAAACAAACAGCCTTTAAAACCTTTTTTTTTTCTTTCTTTCTCCACTTTCTTTCTTTCTTTCTTTTTTTGCTGTTGTTGTTATTGTTGAGATACGCTCTCACTCTTTTACCCAGGCTGCAATATAGTGGCGTGATTGATCATAGTTCACTGCAGCCTTGAACTCCAGGGCTTAAGCAATGCTCCTTGCCTTGGCATCCCAAAGTGCTAGGATTCTAGGCATGAGCCAGCACCCCCAGCCTAAAGAATTTTTTTTTTTTTTTGTAGAGACAGAGTCTCACTCTATCTCCCTGGGTAGAGTGCCATGGCATCACACAGCTCACAGCAACCTCCAGCTCCTGGGCTTAGGCAATTCTCTTGTCTCAGCCTCCCAAGTAGCTGGGACTACAGGTGCCCACCACAACACCCGGCTCTAAAGAACATTTTTAAATTATATCTGTTAGGCAGGTCCGGTGGCTCACACATGTAATCCTAGCGCTCTGGGAAGCCAAGGCAAGTGGATCTCCTGAGCTCAGGAGTTCAAGACTAGTCTGAGCAAGAGCGAGACCTGGGTGTTGTGGCTGGTCCCTGTAGTCTGATAGCATATTAAAATGTGTTAATTTTACTGGAAAATTTGGGGGCTTTTTAAAAGCCTTTCTATTATGATGTAACTTATAAGCTATTTATGTTCACAATTTAAATGTTTGGCCTCTTTGCCTTTTCTTTGTCATGACAGTGGGGGCCCATTTGTTGTCTGTGGCAAATGTCTTTTTTTTCTTTTTTTTTTAGAGTCTCAGGCTGTTGCCCTGGGTAAAGTACCATGGTGTCATAGCTCACTGCAACCTCCAGCTCTTGGACTCAAGTGGTCCTCCTACCTCAGTTTTTTTCTACTTTTAGTAGGGACACGGTCTCACTTTTGTTCAGACTGGTCTCAAAGTCATGAGCTCAAGCAGTCCACCTGCCTTGGCCTCCCAGACTGCTAGGATTACAGGCATGAGCCACCAGGCCCCGGTGGGCAACTGTATCTTGCCTTGTAAAGGTATCTTTCTCTTTCTCAATAAACTTTATTTCATGCTTGCCTCCAAAAAAAAAAAAAAAAGGTAGGCTTGGCCTATAACATATTGGTTAAAGCCCCGGCCACATGCACCAAGGCTGGCGGGTTCGAACTTGACCAGGGCCTGCTAGACAACAATGACAACTGCAACAAAAAAAATAGCCAGGCATCGTGGTGGGCGCCTGTAGTCACAGCTACTTGGGAGGCTGAGGCAAGAGAATGGCTTAAGCCCAAGAGTCCTTGAAATTTGAGTTAGATCTGTCAAAGGCTGCTTTATTATTAATTGAGTGATTTCAAATGTTCTTACCTTCCTGGACTCTCCATAAAGCAGCCGTTCTCAACCTGTGGGTTGCGACCCCTTTGTGTCAATGAGACTACATCACAGCATTAGGAAGGTTGAGAACCACTGCTAAAGTATTACTGTAAGAAATGATAATTGTCATAAGACAGGGGAAAAACAATTCAAAAGCATTTATACTCCCAAGTGTCTTTTGAATAATTACAGCTGTGTATATTATCAAATAAAACTTTATTTTGAGACTAAGGCATTTTGGAAAGGCTTATATGGAACTTTGAGAAGCTTTTATGTTGCATACAAAATGTTGATTAACTGGGAGTAGATTAGTTACTAGAGTCCCTTTAATTGAAAATATTGAAACAGATCTGGATTAAAGGACAACAGATCTGGTTGACAAAGTTTAGGCAGGAGGAGACTGGGACATAGTGTTTCTTTCTTTTTTTCTTTTTTTGCAGATTTTAGCCGAGGCTGGGTTTGAACCTGCCACCTCCAACATATGGGTCCAGGGCCCTACTCCTTTGAGCCACAGGCACCGCGCTGTAGTGTTTCTTTTCTTTTCTTTTTTTTTTTTTTTTTGAGACAAAGTCTATGTCATCCTTAGTAGAGTGCGATAACATCACAGCTCACAACAACCTCAAACTCTTGGGCTTAAGAGATTTTATTGCCTCAGCCTCCCCAAGTAGCTGGGACTACAGGCGCCCACCGCACCGCCCAGCAATTTTTTTGGTTATAGTTGTCATTGTTGTTCAGCAGGTTCGGACTGGATTAGAACCTGCCAGCTCCAGTGTATAGTGTTTCTAAAAGCACAGAGTTGGGCCGAAGCTCATACCTGTAACCCCAGTACTCTAAGAGGCCATAGCAGGTGAATTGCTTGAGCTCAGGAGTTTGAGACCAGCCTGAGCAAGAGCAAGACCCCCATCTGTAAAAAATAGCTGGGCATTGTGGAGGGCATCTATAGTCCCAGCTACTTGGGAAGCTAAGGCAAGACAGTCACTTGAGCCCGAGAGGTAAAGGTTGCTGTAAGCTATGACACCAAGGCACTTTACCCAGGACAATAAAGTGAGACTCAGTCTCAAAAATAAATAAATACATACACACACATACATAAATCACAGAGTCAGAATATCACATAAAAGAGAAAAGGAGTTGTAAAAACTTTGCCAATTGTCAGGACTAATAGAACTATTTCACATCAAATTGTCACTTCTTCATGCCTCAGAGACATTCCAAGCCAGATTTTGTACCACATTACCAAGTAAAGGATAGTTCGCAGGCGTCCTCAAACTACGGCCCGCGGGGCACATGCAGCCCGCCTAGGACATTTATCCAGCCTGCTGGCTGTTTTTGCCACTGCTGCCTGTCCTGCTTAGTAGCTGACTCGTCCCAGGACCCGCAGTCCATCCCTCCAACAGTCTGAGGGACGGTGAACTGCCCCCCCCATTTAAAAAGTTTGAGGACCCCTGGTTCAATTTATGCAGAGTGCCAGTTTTCTATAGAAAAGGTCTTACATATGTTGTTAGGGTAATCACATCCACAGGGCCAGCCATCATGTATGTCATGTTCATGTACATCAAGTAATGGATTTTATAAGTCTAACAAAGTTCTCTTATAAATAGGTGGATAGAAGCATTTCAGGAAGGCACAATATTGTAGCAGTGTTGATTTCGTCTCTTCCGTGGTTCCAAAGAGATGGAAGTTCATCAAAATGGAGTAAATGCAATTTAAAAGTTTAAAAAAGTGGACACTGCCAAGATAAACTCTTCATCAGATATAAGAAATTATTTTGTTCGGTATTAAGTAGTTTTTTTGAAAATGTTTTTTTCATGTATGTTATTTATTAAGACTTTGATGTTTACTTAATGGTCAGGATTATTTCTGAGACTCACACTGAATTCTAAAGCATTGTTTCTTTAGAGACCAGAAAACTTATCTGAATACTGTATAAACTGTCTGTGACCCAATCCACACTGTTTTCTGTACCTTAGATTGTAACATTCTTATCTTACTAATGGTAAATTTTCCTAAGTTAAAAACAGATGACAAGGCATAAATTTCTATGTAGTGCTTGATTTAGGAATTGTTGTTATAAAAATGCTGATGACAAAATGCATGTCTTTGAACCGAGAAAAAAATGAATTTTTGTATCTTTTAATGGAAAAATATACGGCCAGCTTCTACCTCAGAAACTGTGAATGAAATTTCAGTATAGTATCAGAAATAATTCAGTATTTTCTACTGTTAATGTACCTCTTTTGGCATAAGTTAATATTACATCATGGGAAGTATAGCAAAGGGATAGAATCTGAGTGTTTCTTTAACTGTAAGTGGAAATGAGGCTGTTTTCATTTGCAGAGGAACACACATAATCGACTCTATAGGCTTTTTGTTAAGTCCAATCTTTTTTAAAAGGCTCAGGTTTAACACAAACATAAATGTCTTATTTTTAAAAATAGCAAAATAGGGCAAGCATTGTATTACATAATATCCCCTGCTATTGTAAGAGTTCTGAGCCGAAGGCAATGGTGGTATTTGTACCTAAATAGAATGCTGTTATTTCCTATAACGTTGTGCTTTACAAAATGAACTGGAATTACCATGTAAGAGAAGCACAAATTCTAAGGCAGTAATAAGTGAAATTGTATAGTATTCATTTTTGAAAGGTCTTTTTATTCCACTTTGTGACATGGTCTCCCTGGCAGTTTAAATAAAATCCTTTCTTCCTTTAACCAGGTGTCAGTGCACCTCACTAGGAAAGCTTTATTTTCATAATTCTGGTGCACTTACTGTTTAACATAGGAACTACTTTGTATGTAAAAATGGTGATTCGGAGAAAAAAAATGAAATTAACACTGTGATTAAAGTCATTCCTAATGTTCATAATATGCATTTTATTGACTGAGTTTAAACTGTAAATTTCCTTTGTTTTATTTTTTGAGACAGTCTCACTCTGTTGCCCTGGGTAGATGCTACGGCATCATTGCTCACAGCAACCCCCAACTCTTGGGCTTGGGTAGTCCTCATGCCTCAGCCCCTAAGTAGCTGGGATAACAGGCATGCACCACTCTGCCCAGCTAGTTTTTCTATTTTTAGTAGAGATGGAGTCTTGCTCTTGATCAGGCTCCTCTCAAACTCCTAAGTTCAAGCAATCCATTCGCCCCGGCCTCCCAGAGTATGTAAATTATCTGAAAAGGCAAGGTCATACATAGAATAATTCATTAAAGGGTATAAGAATTGACTCCCAAATCAGTGTGATACTTCCTGGCTGCCAAGAGAATTCTAAGTGCCTTTCTGGGCCTTTTGAATGCTGTTTGCTGCAGGATCAGAGTTGCTACTAGATCCAGAGTTGGTTGCTGTGGGTTTTTTCTGGCTATTTTTTGCTATGAAGTTATTTTAAACCCTGTTACAACTTCATACACAATCCTAACATGCCATCTCCCAAGTCTTTGTGTCTTAGCAGGTTAACTAATACTTCTTTGCAGCTCACCTCTTTTATTTTTTTTGAGCCAGAGTCTTAACTTTGTCGCCTACTGTAAAGTACTATAGTGTCATAGCTCACAGCACTCTCAAACACTGGGGTTCAAGCGATTCTTTTGCCTCAGCCTCCCAAGTAGCTGGGACTACAGGTACCCACCACAACAGCCAGCTGTTTTTAGAGATGGGGGGTCTCGCTCTAGCTCAGGCTGGTCTTGAACTCGTGAGCTTATTTGATTGATACACCCACCTCCCTGGGGCCAGTATTGGATTCATGCTTGCCCATCGATTACACACAGTAGTATCCCTGGGGCCAGTACAGGCACCCGTCACAACACCCGGCTATTTTTTTGTTGCAGATGGCCTGGCCCAGGTTCGAACCCACCACTCAGTGTATGTGGCTGGCGCCGTAACCACTGTGCTACAGGCACCGATCCTTTCTTCTGTACTTCTATAGACTAAATCCAGTTGCTTCTTCCTCTGTGCTCCTATAACCTTTAGTTCATCAGCTTATATGGTGCTTAGCACATTCTGCCCTTGAAAATAACTTACCTTCTTCATTTGAGATTGCCCACAGCATCTGGCAGGGTGCCTTGCATGCATTCTGTATTTACTGAATTAAATTCCTTCCTATCCATCCCTTCTGATATTTTTTTTTCAAAGTTCCTCTAATACTCTTAACATTCTGGAACTTGTGCCACTTTTAAAGTCTTTTTTTTTTTGTTAATTCTTGAGACAGAGCCTCAAGCTGTCCCCCTTGGTAGAGTGCCCTGGCATCACAGCTCACAGCAGCCTCCAACTCCTGGGCTCAAGCGAGTCTCCTGCCTTGCCTCTGCCTCCCAAGTAGCTGGGACTACAGGCACCCGCCACAACACCCGGCTATTTTTTGGTTGCAGCCTTCATTGTTGTTTGTCAGGCCGGGCTGGATTCAAACCCGCCAGCTCAGGTGTATGTGGCTGGCGCCTTAGCCACTTGAGCCACAGGCACCGAGCCAAGTCTTTTTTTTTTTTTTAAAGGAAATTTTTATCTATGACTTTGTGCCCTATAAGAAAAGAGTCAAATAGTTTCTAGTAGGATTTTTTAAATGATAAAAGGTAGTAGAAAATTTTCAAAACCCTAAATGTCAAAAGTCCTTTTCCTTTGGGGTGGGAGAAAAGGATGAAGTGGAGGCAACCTTTTTCTTCATATGAGTTGGTCATAGCATGTAAGAACCAATCTTGAGATACTATTTTTTTTAAGTGAGTTATAATGTATGTCTAGAAATGCTTTTTTTAAAATGCTTTTTATTAAAGTAATAATAGTTTGTATCTTATTGTCCATATAAAGATGTAGATCCTTTATAAATAAAAAATTTAGCACTGTAAATAATGTTAATACATTATATTTATAAAAAATAAACTTAATATCTACTGCTGGTGTGATGTCTTTTAAATTATACCCTTTTTTTTGAGTTACTTTTTTTTATATTTTTTATTTTTTTGGAGACAGAGTCTAACTTTGTCACCTTTGGTAGAGTGCCATGGTGTCACAGCTCACAGCAAACTCAGACTCTTGGGCTTAAGCAATTCTCTTGTCTTAGCTTCCCAGTAGCTGGGACTACAGGCACCCGCCACAACACCTGGCTATTGAGTCACATTTTAAACATGAACTTCACTGGCCTCTTTTCCTGAAGTAAAGGAAACTCTTCTACAGATGTTCCTAAAATGGCTTCTACTCCCAAGTTTTAACAAGTCAACTTATAGTGACTTAATTGAATTAACTGGAGGATAAGGGGTAAGCACAGGCATCACTGTAGGCATCCATATTCTGCACCAAGGATAGAGAACAGGTGTCAGAATGCCTCTTTCCATTGGGTCTATAGCATATAATGATGTTTCAGTCAATGACAGACCACACACACAACCATGGTGCCATAAAATTATATTACTGCACGTTTTCTATGTTTAGATACAGAAATACTTAGCATTGTGTTACTGAAAGCATATATAATGAGATGGAGTCTGTCAGGCTAGGGTGGACATGACAGAGCTGGTCTGATCAGTTTAGGTCCTGCCCGACCTTTACCCTGTCTCCCATTACTGTTTTGTAATTTCAGCTCCCACCATAAAGATGCCTATCATAAGTAGTTTAAATAGATTAATGTAAGAGATTAACTTTTAAATTTGAATGTTGTTTTGAGTGATAGATTATGCTGAGTATTGTTTTCTATGGGTCAAGGGTTCTACCCATTATTGTTTAAAGTAAGGGTTGACATGGTCTTCACTTTGAACTTAAAATGCATAAAACTGTAATTCTGGAAATGGAAGAACAGAACGATCTTGGAGAGACTACTCTCAATGTTCTCCAGAATCCTGGCCTTCTGGGAAAGTTTGGTAGACCTATCCCCGTCTGCACATTGGCTGACAGTGACAGGCAACTGGACCCTCCTCATCCTGTAACATTACAGTTGCCTGTTAGTATTCAATACAGCACCATGCCGTACAGGTTTATCCTAGGTTTTTAGCCTAGAAGCAGTAGGCTGCACCATAGAGCCTAGCTGTGTCATAGGCTATTCCATCCAGGTTAGTGTCAGTTACACTCTGATGTGCAGGCAATGATGAAATCACCTAATGAATATCCCAGAACACATCCCCGGCATGACTATGCTTTCATAGCTTTCACCTTTGGAACCAGCTTAAGGATATGTGGGAGGAGCTGCCTTAAAACCAACTGAAAGGGCTCAGCGTTTGTGGCTCAAGTGGCTAAGGCACCAGCCACATACACCTAAGGTGGCAGGTTGGAATCCAGCCCGGGCCCACCAAACAACGACAGCCGCAACCAAAAAATAGCCGGGCTTTGTGGTGGACGCCTGTGGTCCCAGGTACTTGGCAGACTGAGGCAGGAGACTCGCTTGAGCCCAGGAGCTGGAGAATCCTGTGAGCTGTGATGCCATAGCACTCTACCCAGGGGGACAGCTTGAGGCTCTGTCTCAAAAAAAAAAAACAAAAACCAACTGAAACATACCACAAATGATAAAAAATTACAGTTTTATACATTTAGACATTGTCTCTTGTGCTTGGTGTAATACATCATTACTGACCAAAACACAAAAATCAGCCTCTGGGGTGCTTAATTGTAGAGATTATATTCTTGCTCCCTTTGGCCATTGTACCTCCTTACAATAGTTGACAAGCAGAACTTTGGTTTGCTATACATGATTCTACCTCTGTTGTATTTCAAGGAAGTTTAAATATCTGATTGGAATCTATCCAGAGAGAGCCTGAGACAGAGCCTAATTTTCCAGAAATCAGAAAAAGAACTGAAACCGACCGCGTTATTTATTCCCCAAAGCTGAAACGCTGATTCAAAACTTCCTTTAATAACGACCGTTGGCAAATACAATGCTAAACACGCGCGGCTTCTAATTATAATAAAAGTACCTGACGGCGGGGACGCCGTCTCCCTCCAAGCCGAAAGGGGGCAGTCGACTTTCGGAGCCGCGGCTCGATTCTCTGATCCCTCCACCCAACCCAGGGAACGTCACGACCTCCTCTCGTCGGTTCTCTTCGTCGTCAATGCGCAGGCGCGGGCGGGACTGCGCACCGGAGAGCCGAGAGAGGGGTCACGAACTCTGACCCCCCCCAAATACACAAACCCAGAAAGGTTCCTCCCTCCCTTATCTTTGAGCCCCCTCCCTTCAGCTCTCTCCAACCTCTCCTCCCGGAGCGCCCTCCCACCCGCAGCCGCCGCAGCGGGTCTGTCGGGTCGGCGCCCGACGCAGGAGGAAGGCGGCGGAGGGCGCAGGTAAGAAGCGCCGGTGGGGGAGACTGGCGCCCGCGGTGGGGGGCGGGGGCCCGGGGACCCCTTCACCCCAACTGCCAACCGACGCGGCCCCGC